TATATTGAAGTACCTGAGTCAAAAATACACTATGGGAAGTCTAGACTAGTGATGGTGGTTGTGGCTGAAGAGAGAAAGCTGGAGAAAAATATAAGAGAGAGGGCTAATGTTATTTGAAGTCCAAACTCCAGCTTGTGTTACTGAAATACACTCTATTCCTATCTTTCTATGGTTTGATTATGTGAGACAATACATTTATATTTAAGCTTTCTGAGTTGGGTTTCTGTCACTTGCAACTGGAAGTTTCATAATACATAATTCAGGATGTGTGAATGAATATAGGACAAAAGAACAATACATAACATAATATATAAATAAATTTCAATAAAAGATCATAGAAATAAAGGATACATGTGGGATTGAGCCATAAAAGAAGGAATCATGGAGTACTAAATCTTGTTGAGAATTTTGAAGATAAAATTTTAATGGTAAAAGGAATGACAATTCTTTACTTATATAAGTACATAAGTAAAGAAGCGGAGGCAGAAAGACTAAAGTACACATAAATTTCAATTATATGCATAACCTTTGACTCAAAAGTATTAGTTCATTTTGTCAAATTACCTGAAAATCCATTATGAAGAGTCTAATTTGGGATAGTAAGTCTTTTGAAAAAGATATGAAAGCTTTTAGAAGGTTATCAGTCACTATACTCTGGCATACATTAGTGTGGTTATTTCAATTTTTCTTCAAATATAATTGTTATCAACCAAGTTGAAGGAATGGGTGTTATGGTAGAGTCAAGAAGCCAAGAGAAATCATGACAGTCTTAAAGAAGAAAAAGGAGGGAAAATTTGTCCTAACAATGATCAAAACTTATCCTAAAGCTACACTGAGACAGTGAAATATTTGTGCAGCAAAAGAAACATAGGCACACACACTAGGAATAATGTGTTGATTTAAGATATGCAATCTTTTAAAACTTTTAATAAATGGAATTCTCTAAATTTTTATTGTACCTTACTTAAACTTGGATCTATATTATGTTGTGTCTAATATAGAATACAGATAAATGGCAGTCCTGTTAGGATGTAGAGCTGTGAAAAACCCTTGCTTCTATAGCAACAAGAGAAACAAAGTTTTCAAAAAAACACAATATCCTATGCAACTAGCAAAGAACATTGAATACAGGGAAAGCTCAATGAATTGAATTCCATACAAAATAAGTCCTCCATATGTGAGCAGAGAACCACTACTGAGAGTGGGCATCTAGCCTAGATAGGGGTGGACAGAGGAAAGCCTTGCCATAGATAGAGAATAAATAGGAAGAGAAGGACTCATCTAGGCCTTATACAAGAGGGTAGACTGGAGAGATGAAATAGAATCTGAAAGAACCCCAAATATAAAACAAATTGCACTAACAATTGTCCTGTGCCTCCTCCCAATGCAAACTTAAATTTCACCCCTCACATACACACAAAAAAAGAGAAAGAAAGAAAGAGAGGAGAGGAGAGGAGAGGAGAGGAGAGGAGAGGAGAGGAGAGGAGAGGAGAGGAGAGGAGAGGAAGGAAAAAAACAGCTTTGGAGAAAAGCAGAATGAAATCACAGAGAACCACATTTAATTATGCGATGTCACATGTGTATCCAAGTCTTGATTCAAAAATATCTGAAACTTCAATCGAGCCTCAAATAATAATATGATCAAAATGGTAGCAAAATGGAAGTTTGGGAATTACTCTATGGGCAAATTCAACTGAATTTAAAGTTATAACCCAATCCCCATTTAACTCAATTTTAGGAGGTATCTAAATAATTAACCCTTCACCCTAAACGCCAGACAGAGAAAAAGGTTTGAATTTTATGAGAAATAAATAAAACTAAGTAAAAGAAAATTATATCTTCATCTCTATTGTTCTATATACAATGTCTAATAGCAATTAAAAGTAACAAAAGAGGAGCATCTGAGTGGTTCAGTTGGTTAAATGTCTGACTCTTGATTTCGGTGCAGGTCATGATCTCAGGGTTGTGAGACTGAGCCCTGCATCAGTCTCTGTGCTGGACATGGAGCCTGCTTAAGATTCTCTCTCTCTCTTTCTCTCTCTTTCTCTCGCTCTCTGTCACTCTCCTCTCTTTCCCTCTCTGAAGAAAAAGAAAAAGAAGCAGAAGAAAACTAGAAAATATTCACTTATTCCTTATTTCACAATGAAAAAATATTACCATTATTACCTTACTACTAGACATTTTTCAATAAAAGATATATATTAAACAGTAGAGTTGGCAATTAGATTAGGAATATCTGACACCAAAATCTTCATTTTTATCTATTTATTTAAAAAGCACACAGCCAAACTGTGGAAGGAGCCATGATGTCCTATGACAAAATGACAAATGAATGGACAAAGAAGATAAGGTGTGTGTGTGTGTGTATGTATATATATACACACACATACACACTATATATATATATACATATAGATAGATAGATAGATACACATGTGACATACACAATCAAGACTTGGATACACATGTGACACACACACACACACATATATATATATATACACCATACACACACACAATGGAATATTACTCAGCCATCAGAAAAGATGAGTACTCACCATTTGCTTTGATTTTGAAGGAACTGGAGAGTACTATGCTGAGTGAAATAAGTCAATCAGAGAAGGACACTCATCATGTGGTTTCACTCATACGCGGAATACAAGAAATAGTGAAAGGGATTATAAGGGAAAGGAGGAGAACTGAGTGGGAAAAATTAGAGAGGGAGACAAACCATGAAAGACTCCTAACTCTGGGAAACAAACAAAGGGGTGTGGGAGGGGAGGTGGGTCAGGGGGATGGGGTAACTGGGTGATGGGCACTGAGGAGAACACTTGATGGGATGAGCACTGGGTGTTATACCGTATGTTGGCAAATCGAATTTAAATTTAAAAATGTAAAAAAAAAAAAAGAGGTTAAAAGGTAATATCTTATTCATTACTTATTCACTCATGAAACATTTATTCCATGATTGTGTCAACATCAATGGAAAAAATAAAACTACTTTGCCACTAAAAAATAATAATAAAAAATAAAAAGCCCATAGTCTGAACAAAAACAAATATAGCCCATGGGTCTGAAGACATTAATTAAAGCATATTTTTTTTTGATATAGATCATACCAATGTTTTGGACCAAAAGCTTGGATAGGTGTAGGAAATAAAATCTGTTTCATATATAGGATTTCAATTCTTCTCAAACATATATGCTTAATTTTTATATCTTCAAAATTTGATGCCTCTAAGGAAGATATCTAATGAGAAATTGAAATTATCTTAAACAATTTAAAGGTGAAAACACAAATCAAAATATATGGGATGCAATAAAAGCAGTGCTTACAGGGAACGTTATAGCATTTAATAAATATGTTAGAAAAAATATCTAAAATCAATTATATAACCTTTTATCGTTGAAGCTAGAAAAATGGGGGAATGTCAAATTCAAAGTAAATAGAAGAAAATGAATAATATGAATTAGAATAGAAATCAATACAAACAAAAACAGGAAATCAATAGAGAAAATAAGTGAAACCAAAGCTTGTTCTTTGAAAAGATCAGTTAAATTGATAATCTTCTAACAAGGCTAAGAAAAAAGAGGACATAGATATTAATATCAATATCAATGGAAGAAAGGATAATACTACAGATCCTATGGCTATTCAAATAATAAAGGAATAATATGAATAATTCTATGCCCACAAATTTGCTAACCTAGATTAAGAACATAGATCTGTTTGTATGTTCTAACCTAGATCTATGAACACAGATGCAAAAATCCTTAACAAAATATTAGCAAATTGAATCCATTAATGTATAAAATAATTGTACACATGAGCAAGTGGGATTTATCCCAAGCGTGCAAGGGTGGTTCAACATTAAAAAAAAAAATCAATAAATGTAATCCATCACAGCAACAGGATAAAGGGGGGAAAATCCCAATATCATATCAACAGAGGCAGAGAAAGCATTTGACAAAAAAACCAAGAGCCAGTCATGTTAAATACTCTCAGCAAACTAGGAATACAGGGAACTTCCTCAGCTTGATAAAGAATATATACAAAAACCCTACAGTGAATGTCACACTCAACGGTAGAAAATAAAGTTTTCCTGTTAAGATCAGGAACAAGGCAAGGATGTCCCTTCACATCACTCCTCTCCAACATTGTAATGTTAAGTCTGAGGTAACGCAATAAGGCAAAAGGGGAGATAAAAGGTATGTAGACTGGGAAGGAAGTGGTAATACTATCTTTGGTTACAGATAACATGATCATTTATGTAGAAAATCCTGAGGAATTAACAATAACAACAACAATAAATTCCTGGAACTAATAATCAAGTATAGCAAAGTTTCAGGTAACAAAGTTAATATACAAAAATCAATCACTTTCATATATTCTAGCAATGAACAAGTGAAATAAATTTATTTTTTTTTCCTTTGGATGACTTTTTATTTTGCATTTCATATATGATCCAGCTTCACATTCTCACAGGATCTGCAATTACAACAGCCACCTCGTCTCCCAAGTCTGAAAACGTCAAGACAGCCACAGCTGCGGCCAAAGGCAAAGCACTGATGTGCTCACGAAACAACAACAAAAAAATCGCACAATTTTTTTTTCCTCCATTTTTCTGAAACGAACACCTGACACAAAGGCTCATTGCTGGAGAATGGAAAACCTTTTCTTCTTCATGCCTCAAACTAAACATTAAACTTATCTGACAAGGCGAACAAGGTCTCTTTAATAATTAATTGCACACACACACGAAAAATCCTTTATGATGCATAAATATTTTGTTACACAGGGTACAAAAATACTTTCACTTTTTGGTTGGTTTCGAAGTTCGGAAAGAATGAGGAGCACGGGCAGGGGTGGGGTGCGCAGTGGAGAGGTAAGCAAACCAGGCAGAGACAGGATTTTCTTAGCGGTCGGTGGCCCCTCTAGGAGGAGGTGGAAGCGGGGAACCCGGATTTGGAATGAAAAAGAAAACGCTACCTCTGTCAGGTGGTCGTTGCTGTTGGGCCTGGAAGCGCGTGGGGGTGGCGGGGGACCCGGGCTGTGGGACGGAGCGAGCTCCGGGGCTCGGTCCTCACGGAAGCAGGGGGATGTGTGTGTGGGGGGGGAGGTGTGGAGAGAGGGACCGGGAATGATGAACCGGTTGGTGGCCAGGACCTGTTGCTATGGTGACACAATGTGAGAACAAACTGTACACTCACATATACACAAGTTTAAGTGTCTTAATTCATGCCAGAAAACATGCAAGATTAAATGCCTCGTTTCTCTGAGGTGGAGCTAGGGAAGCAAGTCTGGACCGAGGTGGGGCCTCGCTAGGCCCCAGGGAGACCTGGGCTGCGTCTGGGCATCCCAGCGGGAAGGCCCCCTTCCTCCCGGGAGGCCTCGGCCAGGGGCTGCGGGGAGGGACAGGGCCCAGGAAGAGGAGGAAGCAGACAGGAAGCAGTCCACTGAGTCAGGCTTAAAATTCACAGTCTTTGGGGGGCAGCGGCAGCTCAGAGCGGCTTCCTCCCCAGCGGGGCAGGGCCTTCGAGCTGCGGGGACAGGACTGAAGAACTAACAGAACTGCCGGTATTTCCATCCTTGCTGGGTGGTGTCCGAGGAAGGGTACCAGCGCACCTGAGCGTGCAGGGCAGCGGCAGCAGCGGCAGTGGCAGCTGGGTAGGTAAATGCAGCAGGTGAGATGGCGGGGGTCAGCTCTGTGGTATACAGTGGGTAGGGGGCCCACGCCTCTGGGGACGCAGGGATCAGAGCAGCCCCCATGAGGTCACAGGGGTCGCGTGCGATGAAGTGTGCTCCTAGGGCGGGGTGAGCATTGGTGGGATTAGGTGTAGCCATCAGCTTGTTCTCGGCCATCTTGGTGTTGGCTTTGGCAAACTCTAGCCTCAAGGTCTGTGGGTTCTCAGGATCAAAGCGAATACCGTTGAACGCGTTCTTGGCTGCTTCTGCTCCTGCTCGGCTGTCAAAGATCACAAAACCAACGGGCTGTCTGGATGTGAGCTTGATCAGGGACCCTTCATAGCCCTTGAACGGCCGGAAGAGCAGGTACAGTTCTCTGGGTTTAATGTCCACAGGGAGGCCACTGACGAATAGCGTTCGGACCTCCATCTCCAGAGCGCCGCCGGAGCCCGAGCCCGTGCCGGTGCCGGTGCCGGTGCCCGTGCCGGGGCTGTGCTCGCCGTCCCGCTTCAGGTTGCTCATGGTGCGGGGGGTGGGGCGGGGGTGGCGAGGGAAGGGAGCGCGGAGGGCGAGCGCGGCGCCCGGCCCCGGCGGGGAGGTGGGAAGGGCGAAATAAATTTAAAATAGAAGCACGGTACCCATTCACATTAGCACCTAAAAAAGTGAGACATTAACCTAACAACACATGGACAAGATCAGTGTGAAGAAAAATACAGATTCCGATGAAGAGAATGCAAAAACTGAATATATGGAGAAAAATTCCACATTAATGTATAGCTACACTCAATATTGTTAAGATGTCAGTTTTTCCCAACTTGAGACTCTATGCAATTCCAATTAAAATCTCATCAAGTTATTTTGTAGATATCAATAAACTGATTCTAAAATCAGTTTAGATTCTAAATCTCCATTAGACGGAGAGGCAAAAGACCCAGAATAGCAAACCGCAATAGTGATACAAAAGACAAAATTTGGAGGCCCAACAGTACCCAACTCCAAGACTTTAAAGCTATGGAACCAAGACAGTGTGCAATTCGCAAAATAGACAAATACATCAATGAAACACAATAGAGAGCTTGGAAATAGTCATGATATAGGCAACCACTCTTTGACAAAGAAGCAAAGGAGAAATTATAGTCTTTTCAACAAATGGTGCTGGATAACTGGACACTGATATACAAAAAAAAAAGAAGAAGAAAAAAGAATATAGACACAGACCTTATATCCTTAACAAAAATTAACTCACAATGATTATAGACCTAAATATTAAATGCAAAACTATAAAACTCCTAGGGGAAAACATAAGAGAAAACCTAGATGGCCTTGAGTATGATGATGATGTTAGATACAACAGCAAAGGTACAATCCATGAAAGAAAAATTGATAATATGGACTTCATTAACATTAAAAATTTTTGTTCTGTGAAAGATATTGTCAAAAGAGTTAGAAAACAAGCCACAAATAGAAAACATCTGCAAGAAAACATATTTGATAAAAGCCTATTATCCAAAATATACAAAGAATTTTTAAAACTCAACAATAAGAAAACAAGTAACCCAATTAAAAAATGGGCTACAGACACATCACCAAGGAAGATATACAGATAGCATTATAAGCATAGGGAAAAATATTCGATGTTGTACGTCATCGGGTAAATGCAAATTAAAACATGATACTGCTACGTATCTATTAGAATGGCCAAAATCAAGAATAGGGAATGAACTAAATGGTGGCACATCCAGACAATGGAATATATTTCAGCTGTGAAAAGCAATTAATTATCAAACCGTGAAGGAAACTTAGATACATAGTACTAAGTAGAAGAAGCTAATCTGAAAATATTGTATACTATATGCCATTCTGGAAAGGAAAAAACTTGTAGAGACAGTAAAAAGATCAGTGGTTGCCAGTTGCTGAGGGTGCAGGGTGGGAGGATAAATAGGTGGAACGCAGAGGATTTTATAGTAATGAAAATACTTGGTATGATATTATAATGATGGATACCTGTCTTTGTACATTTGCCAGAACCCATACGATGTACAATGCCAAAACTGAACCCTTAGGTAAATTGTAAACTTTTAAGGATTTGGTGTATCAGTGTAAGTTCATCAATGGTAACAAGTTCATCAATGTCCCACTCTGGTGGAGGATGTCAATAATGGGAAAGCTGTGCATGTGTGAGGGCAGAGGGTTATGGGAAATCTCTGTACTTTCAACTTTTCTGTGACCTAAAATGCTTCTAAAAAATAAAGTCTAAAAACAATTAATGTTTCTATATTTTTTCTTGTCTTGAAAAGGAGAGGAGAATAAACTACCCTGAGAAGTCAGACTTTGAGGAAACCATTTTGATCAGTTTAGCTATGTGCTACTACTAGAATGATTTTAAAAGTCGTAAGGTTTAATGAGAACTGATTCTACATTAACATTTCTAGGTTGAAATGTTAGAGTTGAAAAATAATTGCTGTTGATTGTTTTAATGTTTCCCTTAGTTATCATAGTGATTGCATTCCAAATTTGCATCCTCACTTGCGTAAAACTTTGTGTATTGCTTCTATAAGTTTTACTGACTGAAAAACTCACTAATAAAATTGGCAAGAAAAAAAAATAAAATAAAAAAATTAAAAAAAATTGGCAAGAAAATTATACGGGATAAAGATACTACACATCCGAAAATCAATTCTAAGCAGTGTTCACCTCAGTTACAAGTGTATATGAGCCTCCATATTTAAGTGAACATTACATGAAATTTCATATGCCACAAAAGCTAACAAAACACTCTGTTACCAATAAAATTATTGTGTTATGCAAATGCACTAATAATCTCATATACTTGTTTTATTGAACAATCTTTACATTTTAATATACTGAGAATATTGTTGCCTTTTGGAAAAAATACATGGATTATTTTTAATAATTTTACATTTATTTTTCATTATTTTCATTTTTTAGATACACATAAAGCAAAACGTTCCTTTAGTAAATTTTACACATTTGTTTTGTCTCTGGCTACGAAACATCACTTATATCTATAATTTTTCTTCATTTCATCATGTTCATGTTTATAAACTTGTTTTTATTTCATTGCTTAGAAATAGCTACATTGAAAAGGAAGTCTCTTTTTCTAAAAGAAATATTCAGAATCTTTGCAGATGATACATAGTATATGAAAGCAATACATACACAGGCTTTTTTTCTGTAATTTCCTTTCTTAGGAATGGCGTAAGGCCTTTCTCTGATTTTCTTTTACTTTAGTGATGCTAACAGTGTTACCATAGGCTTATCTATTACTATACAGATGCTTTTTCATGTTATTTATAAAACTTGAGCTACACTTTCCATATGATTATGAAACTTGACATTTAATAGTATATATATGTAGTATAATATATAGTAAATATACAAAATAGTATATAGTACGTATAATAGTATATTATATTATAAAAAGATAATCCATACAGTTATCCAACTTTAAGTGCTTAGTCTATGTGGGGCTGATCTTTTAGAGAAATTGTTATCTTGAAAATGTAGCAATAAACTAATTTAAAATAAATAGCAAAGAATAATGATATTAAGTTGGGAAAATCTTCATGCTTTGAAGAAAAAATAAAAGCAAATATAAATTCAGAAGTAATTAAAATGTTTTAGATGATCTTTAGAATCATACAAATACTTAGTATAAGAATAATTTATTTTCCTTAATAGGCCAATTTTCAAATATTAATGGGAAGATTCAGATGTATTTCCCTAAGAAGCCACCAGATGGCTATATGGGGCCTTCCTTGATTTTGAAGTTCAGTGGGTTTTTTGTTTTGTTTTGGTTTGGTTTTTTTTTTTGTTTTTTTGTTTTTTTTTTTTTTTTTTTTTGCTTTTTTTCCCTTCCTACAAAACTAGATTAAGTAAGATTATTTCTTACATAATTTTCATAGAGCTTTGAAATAGCTTAAGTGTGATGCAATGATGGATACGAATGCAATGGAGTGTGCATATGTGTCATTGTTTCTTCTGATTTTATTATAAGTATTAAAGACTAATAATGATGAATTTTAAGGAATGTCCAAATCACAAAACTTTAAACATTGAAATATTTAGCTCTTTTCTAGTCCAAACTCTTAATTTTACAGGTTAAGTACTTGAGATCTAAAAGATGCATTTCTCTATCATTTGGGCTTTATTTTCACTGGCAAAAGTAAAGTGCATTTTCTAGATAATTAAAACACAGGATTGGGGAAAGGACAGCAGAACTACCTCTAACAGTACTCTACAAATAATTTTTAAGGAATTATTTCTTTAAATTACTTAAGAAGTTATATTTATCCAAATGCTAAAATTTTCTAAATTTTCACTTTGCTTTCATTCTGTCAGTGAATTTATAAAGAAAATTAGGCAAAATAGAAGGAAGTCTAAAATATTTTTTGATTAAATATTATCAGCACATTTTGCTGTGTAATATAATTATCTTAAAAATAATTAGCTTTATGTCACGATAAAAATAAAAATAACTAAGCTAAGAGTACCACAATTGTCTCAAGTACTACTATTAATATATTCAATTCTTAGAAAGCTTTATAAAAGTGCATTAATTTACCACATTTTTATTTTCCAAAAATAACATTTGATATATTTTCTGAACTACTTCTAAACTGTTTTCATTAGTTTGTTTTGGTTATGATTTGAAGTATACCTTATATTTTTATAAAGTTATATTTAAAAGTATATTTAATGATACTGAAATGATTTAACATAATCAGCCTTTACTATCCTTCCTGTGGGAGAGCTTAGTTGTACATATTCACAATTATAGGATTTTACTGAGAATGAACAAGTTGCCCTCTACTCTGAAAATGCAACCGTTAACCTGGGAATGTTAATATTACCTTGCTACAGTCCCACAGCCAAGAATGGAAGCAGAGCTTGGAGAGTTCCAAGCAATGTCTGGGTAATGCCATTTTAGTGAGGACAAAATTTATATACAACTCAGACTTATTAAAATGCAGAATGATTTATTTTCTGAATCTGATCTCATCTTACTCTGAAGTACCTTTTCATTGATTAAGGAGAAGAAAAAAGAGGAAAGCAAAACCAAACCTCAATCTTAATATGCCAATACCTATTCCTGTGGTTAGTGTCTTTTGGATGGTCATTTTAAATTTCTTCCCATCTGGAAGGGTCTTTTCCTCCCCTCTTCTTTACTAATATGGTATGACACAATGGAGGGCAAAAAGCGCCTATCCTCCTGGTTGGGGAAGAAAAGTCTTCTGGTTGGTCTGCTGTTTTCCTCAGTCCAGGGATGTCCCTGTGCCTTTGTATCACTGGTATTCTGCAGTAGGGTCACTCTGGAAGTCATGGTCCACCAGTATTCTCATTTCCATAACCCCTCTCCAAATACTTAAGATCCTCTATGTATGCCATATAGACTTGACCTTTTTTTATTTATTTATTTATGATAGTCATAGAGAGAGAGAGAGAGAGAGGCAGAGACATAGGCAGAGGGAGAAGCAGGCTCCATGCACCGGGAGCCCGAC